AATAATGGATTAAGTGATCACCATATAAGTGGAAGAACAAATGCATCTAATACCTTAAGATTTTAAATTTAATCGTGGTGTCTAAGCCCATTAAATGTTATTGTTCACTTAGCCCATGAATAAAAGTCTCTTCTTGCCATGAGATTTTCTTGCTAGGCCCAACAATGATGAGGTAGGGTTTAGTATTTTAAAGAGAAAAAATAAAAAAGAGAGAAAGAGAAAGAAAGAGGTTGATACTATTTTTATAGTTAATTACAGGAGTGTCACTGCATTTTTAGCGTTTTCTATTTCTAAAATTTTAAAGAGGAAACATTAAAATAACTAGTTTATTTTCAGTTTGGATTTAAAAATGTTTTCCAATAAAATTTTCACTAAGATCCAGCCAAACACATTTTTAAACCTATTTTCAGATTTTATTTTACATATAAATAAGAAATAGGAAAATCAAACAGGCTAAGAGCCTATTTGAATCCTCTTATTTTTAAACTAGAAGCTACTTATAAGCTAAAGTAAAAAAAAAAAAAAAGCTTAAAAAAAGAAGCTAAAAGCTGTTTGAAAATTACATAAAAAATTTAGCTTACAAATTACTTAAAAGCACATATTTCAAGAAAATTATCTCTCTATCTATCTTTATCACTCTTCATTCTAAAAAAAACATACAATTCAAGAAAAACAGAGGAGAGCTTAAAAAAAGGAGGAGCTTTTAGTTTTCATCTTTTTTCTTTATTATAAAAAAAAAGAATTTTTCGTTATAAGAGCTTTTTTCAAAATTTGTTTGGCCTAGCTTATGTTCTAGCTTAAAAAAAGAGAGGATCCAAACAGGCACCGAGACTTTTAGCTTATTTTATTTTTATTTATCTCACTAAATAAGGTGGCATCTCTGTGCCTATGCTATGAAAATTGTCAATTGTTTTGTTTCTTTTTATTGTATAGAATTCTCGTTTTAATTTTACTCTTCCGCTCCAAGCATAGTTTACCAAGCAATCCAACCTAGCCTAGGCCACAACCCATAAGAGCATCGTTACAGGGCAGTAATTGTTGTATAAATCTTGGCCCAACCCATTCTAAACCCTGGCGTGGTTGGGGTTCTTGGGTCACGGTGACTCTTTATAAAAACATATAGCTTTATAACCTTAGGGGGTGTTTGTTTCAGGTTTTTGAAGAGGATTACCGGTAATCCTTCTTTGGTAAATGTAATTACCACGTTTGGTAGAAGGAATAAATTACGATTCCCGGATATCCAAGGATTACCGGTAATTTGATTTATAAAGAAAAATCAGTATTCAGATTACCAAAAATAATATGGTAATTCGGAATACCAATCAGAATACCAAGTAAAAGGAAAGCACAATAATAAATTTTGAGACAAAAATACCCCAATACACATAAAAATCTAGACCCAATCTATCAATTACAAAAGTAAAAATAGTTTGGGGTTATTTTTGTAAAATAACCTCATATTCCAAGTCATATTTCGTTCTAAACCAAATATGGAATCAGTAATTTTTACCCAATATTCCCGGTAATATTTTGGCGAACCAAACACCTCTTTCGTAAGATTCCAAGTAAACTCAATTTCTACTGAATTCCCATTAATCATGATTCCCGGTCACCAAAAAATTTCTCTTGTACCAAACACACCCTTAAGGAATGGCACGCCCGGTAAACGAGTTGTGCCCAATTGTTGGGATTGAAAAAAAAAAATTATTTAAATTTTAGGTAAAGTAATTTAGGGGGTGTATTAGATTGAAATTTCAAACGATTTCAATTGGAATTTTAATGGATTGAAAAAAAGTCAGGTAGTATTCGTTTAAGATTTTAAGAGATTATTTTAGAGTCTGTCCAAATCACCCAATGGGTGCAGCTTAGTTGGTTCCTTGGCGCTGAGTTAGCGGGGTTGGACATGTGTTCGATTCCCGCTGAATGCATTCTTGAGGAGGGGCTGAACCTTTAGCCATCACTGACCCCCGCACTCCGGATTAGTCTCATAGCCGACTCAAAGAGTCGAAGCTTGTGGGGATACCGGAGGGAGCCAACTCGCCTCAAAGAGGTAATTAGGGTTGGGTAACTCCAAAAAAAAAGTCTGTCCAAATCCGTTAGTATTCAATCAAGATTTTAAACAATGGAAAAACAATCTTGTGGTATTCAAAAATCTAGCGATTTTAATGGATTTTCTATTAGTGTGAATTTTGTGAGACTTTTTAGTAAGAAATATAAATATGGTGTCTCTCTCACAATCTCATCCTAACCCCTAGGATTTCTTGAGAATTTTATATTGCAGTGTTTTCTTCTTTCTTTGGTAGGTTGACCAGCTCGAGATCGGGTTCCGTCATGTGAGTTTCATAAAATCTCAAAAATAGCATATTTTTTTAGCGATTTCCATCTCAAAACAACCAATAAATAACAAACCAACGATATTTTACTATAACTTATCTCAAAAATAACATATTTTTTAGCCATTTTTTGAGAAATTTTGAAAGTTTAAAAAGTGATTTTTAAGCTATGGGTCACGGATTTTCTTCGCACAAAAAGTGTGATTTTTGTATTAAAAATAACATAAAACAGTGGAAAAATAATTAAGGAACTAAAACCTTCAAACCAATTTTGTTTTACACCAATGAAACAATATCAATTTAAAGAAAGATTGAAATTTTCATAATATGAACAGTATATTTCGTAACAATACATTTATGAACGAAATTCTTTCACTATAGGAAACGATTTTAAACAATTTTTATGTCAATAGATAATTAAAAACTTATTTTTCAAAAACCCCAAAGCAATTTAAGATTTCAATGTATCGATTGAAAAAAAATTAAGAAATTTTCTAAACTTTCATGTAATAAAACCCAAAAATTTAGATTCGAAATTTTCTTAGAATATTCAATGAAAATATCCATATGATATATGGTTAAAAAACTCTCATAATGTAGAAAAAAAACCCCAAATTCCAAAAAAAAATTATAGGTTCTATATGTAAATTTAGAATTATTTTAATAATTAAAAAAAATTGGGTCTTATAATTATATGCACAACTTTGATACCAAATGAAAAAAATAATTTTCAACCCATTGTCTAACCCAATATCAGGAATGAGAAAATACTAATGCATAGAGGACTAGTATAACTTTAGATATGTGAAAACATGTTGTTTAGCAATTTTGAATGTTTGTTAAAAATTATATTATGTTTTACTGATTGAGAAAATTATATTAGGTTTTACTTTTTTTTATTAATTTCATTGTATTTCTTTGTTATTTTTTTATGGGGAAGGTTATACTTATAACCTATTTTTGTTTACAACTTTTTACAATCATATCTTAATCGTTGATTTTCGTCAATCAACAGTTATCATTCATTACAAATTAAATATTAATTAATGAGTTTGATTTGCGAAAATAATAACCGTTGATTAACGGAAATCAACGATTACGATACGATTGTAAAAGGTTGTAAACAAAAATAGGTTGTAAGTATAATCTTTCCCTTTTTTTATTGACTCTAGTAGTTTTGAATATTTGTTAAAAATTCATATAATTTTTAAAATCTTATAAATTCACATTGTCCTTTCAAATCTTATAAATTCTATTAAAATCCTTTAAAATCAAATCTTATGAAATTTTGATTGTAAAAAAAGTCTTTTAAAAAAGTCTTCATAGTCCCCCCAATTCTAAATACTCTTTTAAAATATATAAGATTTTTTTATCTCAAAAAAGTCTTTTAAAATTCTAATCCAAATAACAAAAACTTTTCAAGTCTATGTTAAACTCCAATTGATGTATCATTTTAGCGATAGGCAAGGTTTAGTTTATAAAATCATATAGATGAACTGAGATAGATAATATTAAAAAAAAATTATATAGAATATAAAATTTTATTTCATTAATAAAAAATATTTTATTTCATTATTTTCCTTTTCATCAAACGTTCTTTTGTTAAATTATAGCCTTTTTTTTTTATTTTTTTTATTTAACACTGTCAATTTTAACTAAATTCCAACCAAACAAGCATTAAACGGGTAAGCACAATAACCTGAAATCGAAAGGTTCAATTTTTAGAAATTGACTTTCTCTAAAATGAAGAGTATATTTTAAAATACGAAATGTAGAGGTACAACTTACAATATCTAATTAAAAATAAACAGTCGAAATTATGATAAAATACACACATACAAACACACACACACACATATATATATATATATATATAATATCTAATGTTATTTTAGATAATTTTGTCTAATGTTCATCGAAACGACGTCATTTTGGAGTTGAAAAATTAAAAAATTAGAATGATAAAGACTATTATAACCCTAAAATAAATTAAAGTTACAAAAATACTATGATTTCTATCCCAAGACGACGTTGTTTTGATGAATTTTAGATAAAATTATCTAAAATAACTTTAGAAAAAACAAACCTATATATATATATATATTAAATTATAAAATTGTAATATCATCTCCTTTAATCTTTAACTTACTGTTATGATTCTACACTTAGTCCTCTAAATTGCACCCTTAATTTTAAAGGATTTAAACTCCATTTGTTATTTTTATTTAGTTTGGTCTAATCTTAAAGTTGTTATTATAATTAATATTTAGAAGTAGGTTATAATGCATTCTCACCTAAACTCGATCTTATTTCACCATTGAGTAGAAGATGAATTGATATTAATTGGGGTAATTTATATTTAACAATTTTTTTTTTTTTTACAAATTCTTACAAATCATATTATGTATTATAGAGAGTATATGTTCAAATAATATATATTACCTGTAATATATAATATAATTTGTAAAAATTTATAAACAAAATTATAAATATAACTTTTATTTATATTAATTATTTAGAATCCCAAAAATATAAAAAAGATAAAGTTGGCAGCACAGTATGTGAGTGGGAAGACACACGCACCCACTAATTTCTGACTTCTTCAAATACCCAAACATTAAAAAATAAAATAAAAATAAAAATTGAAGTTGGCTTACAACAATCTCATTCTCAGTACACAGCACACAATAGAATTGGTGAATTAGATAGATCTCAGAGAGAGAGAGAGAGAGAGAGAGAGATGTCACGGGGGAGATCTGATTCAGGAGGAGGTTGTTTGAGACTATGTTTGGTGTTGTTCGCAGTAGTCTCAGCTTTGGGTGTGTGTGGGCCTGCTCTCTATTGGAGATTCAAGAACCGCATTACTCTTCGCAATTCCAATTCCAATTCCAATTCTTGTCCTCCATGCCTCTGTGATTGTCCTCCTCCTTTGTCCCTCTTCCAAGTAGCTCCTGGTAATTCCTCCTTTCTTTCAATCCTCTCATCTTGGATCTATCTAATAATTATATTAAGAATGATGTTGAAAATAAAATAAAATAAAAGCAAATTAATGATTCCCTCTCTGTACAGTGATTGAACAAGTTTGTTATATTAGATTGTAACTGTTTGTTTGTTTTCTGTATCATGCCTTAAGATAGAGTAGACATGGAAAGGTGACTTTCCCATGTAATACAGGCATACACATACTTGCTCATTGAAACTTGCAAAATTTTTGGTGTGGTTATGAAAATTTATGGTCTAGAGAGGAATTAACCTAACATTTATGATTCAAGAAGGGATTGAAAAACTGAATTTTGAGGTGTAAGTGGATTGAATAAGGAAATATATGACGGCACTTTGAATCTGTCATTGTTCTTTTCTCAGATAATGTGACTTGTGTTAGCTAATGGTCCACAGCTCTGTTCAATCTTGCTATTGTGTTTTCTGGTAGTTAATGGTCGGCTGCAATGCAATTGTTTGTATTCTGGTGTTAAAATTGCAAGTGATGAAAATTATTTTATTGACTGTCCGTGATAACATTTGTAGTAATTTCTTCATGTTTATCTTATAGAATGGATGGTTCATTTATTAAAGTAAGAATTAGTTTCAACTATTAATGAATTACTATTCAGGAATGTCCCCATTTCTGCTCTTGGGACATTGGCTTAAATTATCTTATGCATTAGTTGTATGTCCCGGGTATAGCAAATTTATGCCTAAAGAGATTGATGAATGAAACTTTACGCTTTAGCCATTATTTGTCTTGGTACAGGTCAATTTTGATACATGTATGTTTAGAATTCATTTTTTATGTGAGTACTTAACTTCTTGTTTACTGATTCATTTATTTCACTTGTGTCTTTCTTTACACAGGGCTGGCCAATCTCTCTGTCTCAGGTTAGAGTTTCTCCTGATGGCTTTTCTCAAATGTATATTTTGATATAAGCTTCTTATTAGTATTTTTTATTTATTTCTTATATAATGTGAACTCTGCCCATCATAGTTTTAATGATAATGGTGGCAATTCTACCAGGCAATCTGCCACATCTAGTAGTTACCTATCATCTTATTGACAAACATTGGACAGTTTTTTCAAGTTCCACGTTGGATTTTGCGAGGGATTAATTAATGGTGTGTAGGCACTAACAGCTAACCACTAAACACAAACATGTACAAGGAGATAACAAGGAGATAACTACTAAGAACATGAACAAGTTAGACTAGCCTTTTATGCCATGTGATTTGACATTTTGGTTGGGTTTCAGGCGTGACTGACATTATGCCTTGCTAATTAGTTCCCTGTCAGTTTAGATAATTAGAGATATATAGGTTAGATTAAAATTTTAGTCCCTATAGTCTTTTTCTTTTTAAATCAATCCTCATACTTACGAATGTGTTCAAAATGCTGCTATCAGTTTCCATTATAATAGGGTCAGTTGGTTCTCCTGAGAGGTATTTCTTTGTCCAATATGTGCTCCTTTAGATGTTCCTTTTCACCTTAAAACGCCCAATAGGTGCACCTTTCTTCTAGAACTTATGCACCTAGAGTTGGTTTAGAATTGTGCGTGCATCGTTTTTCTGAGTCTTTAGGCTTTTTTTTTTTTTATTTTAATTCCAGTGGTATTTTCATAATTTTGAGTTTTTTTATTGCATTTTAGGATTAATTGTCACCATGTAAAAGGGTGTTTAAGACTCCATTTGTGGTGATGGTTGAATATTTTACTGTTTTGATAATCAAAATTCAGAACAAAGAGTTTTTCTTTTCAATTCCAGTTAGAATTCTGTTTAGACCAATGGCATTAGGGACTATTTTAAAAGACGTTTGTAAGTGTGAAAATTGACTTGAAGAAAAATATACAGGGACTGAATTTAAAACGAGCAAAAACTGTCGGGAGTAAGATTTTAACTTAACCAAATATACATTTACTTAGTCAGTAAGAAAGATGAAAGAGGTGGGAGTGGTGCTATTGCTTTGTCCGTGAGGAAAATATAACTCCACATCATCTCAGATTTCTTATTTTATAATCATTGTCATAATGAGCTGTTAGTCAGGTTTTACAAATTATCATGCCCAAAGTTCTAGTTAATTTTGCTACTAATAACTGCGTATGGATGACATCAATCTGCTTATCAACAGATTGTGGAAGTAATGACCCAGATCTAAAGGAAGAGATGGAGAAGCAGTTTGTGGACCTTCTCACGGAGGAGCTTAAGTTGCAAGAGTCTGTTGCTGAAGCACACACTCGGCACATGAACATAACTTTGGCTGAGGCAAAAAGAGTGGCATCTCAGTACCAGAGAGAGGGAGACAAATGTATTACTGCAACTGAAACATGTGAGCAGGCAAGAGAGCGGGCTGAGGCCATACTCATCAAGGAGAGAAAGATTACTTTGGCTTGGGAGCGACGAGCTCGTCAAATGGGATGGGAAGGAGAATAACTGCGTTAATTTACTATTTATATTCTTTATTGTCATAATCATCTTTTTATACAAGCATGCAAGCAAAATGCTTGAGTTGTCAACCAATTTAGGTTAAAATTGTTCTCATACTGTGTTTGTAACTGTATCACCTATATGCTAGTATCAAACAATTATTACCCCACAGATGATACCAGTGCATTCGCGTGTACTATTACCACGACACACTCTCCTTGGCGCTGAAAGCTCGTCAAATATGTTCTTGGACTTGATAATATTATACACTATACATGGCTCTGCATCCAAGTGTGCTCTATCTGTTTTTTTGGCCTTGGCTTACAATTCCAAATACTTACAAGTCCAAATACTGGAAGCTTTGATTTGACTGGTTTAACCGGTTGAGTAGCCTTCTAGTTTCAGACTCAGAAATTATCAATACACAACTCATTGATTAGATTGTTTTTTTGCTTTTAACACAACCCAACCTAGTTTAAAATAGATAGCTCTGCTTGTTTGTCCACCTTATAATATTGATACACTAAAAAATGAAGACAAAGCAATGAAGCTGCGAGAAAAAAGAAGAAGAAAAAAACAACGCATATGACAAATATTATTAAGCAAGCACCCAAGATTTTAATGTTCAGACTTTCAAGATAGAAGACCTTGAAACAAACTAACATTTGGTTACGTAATAATGTGGGTACCTAATCTGAAGATTGATATCAATCTATAATCTTTACACATGGATAATGACTGGGGATTCTCCAGAATCATGAGCACGCACATGGTTAGACCTAAACAAAGATTCTTTGCAGATGTAGCACTTATAATCTAATTTAATATTTACATCGATCATAGGGTGTCGGCTGCCCGAGTTCATTCGTACTTTTTCTTTTCTTTTTCTTAGCAATAAATGGAAATATTAAAGTAAAATCTTATCCTTAGTATGAAGTATGAACAAAGAAAAAAGAAAATTATCCTTAGTCCTTTTAAAAAAAAAAAAAAAAAACATTTATTTGTCTTCTTCTCAGTGCATAAAAGTCAAGTGTCTTCATAACAGTTTTTGTAAAATTATTTCTTTTAACATATAAAAAATATAAACGGAATAAAAAAGGAGAACTCACAAATTTATTAACAAGTGAGTAGGGAAAACCTGATCACAAATGTTTTGTAAAGTTAAAGGGTCATTTTTTTGTCATGAACCAGGGAGTGACATATACAGTTTCTCTTAAATATGTGCTGCAGCACATTTTTCTAGTACCCAAACATAAGTAGTAAATGACAGGACACGCTAATATGAAAATGTAATTAAGGTACATATGCAGGGTTGATTCTGTCTTGGGCAGCCATCAATAACAAAGTCAAAGACAAATGAGACACAAAAACGCGGTTTCAATTTCCAACGTTCATGCACACATCCAATCCAGCTGTGAACTTCAATAATATCAATTATATATTCAAAAACAAAGACCCCTTTTTTTTATTATTTTAAGTTCTTAACAAAAACTCACTGGAAACTTATAGATCTATACTACAGTGTGCTTATTTTTTAATGTCCTAATCCTAGATCTACTATTGTCAAACAAAAGGAAACAACAACCTTCCCTGCTTTTTATGTGTTTATGAAATCAAGTTTAAGGTTTGTTACCAAGAGTTTTACTCCCAAGTGTTTTGCTTCTGGGAAGCTTCTGGTGCGTGTACCTAGCCTACGGATCATTAAGACAAGATCAAGTTTCTAAATTTAGATATTATCGAGATATATATCATTGGGATTGGATAAGTTTCTAGAAATGGAAAGTTCCAAGAACAATAGAGTGGAGAAGAGAGGGTATGAGCTAGTTGAGGAGGATGATGGTGCACAGCACCATCTGACTCAGTCAAAGAAGCCAAAACTACCCGGTTTAGCCAGGTATTGCAAAACAATTTACAAGTATTCATTCTCTGCTCGTGGATATTGTTTTAATTTAGTTATTTGCTTCAAAGATAAGTAGAGTTTGGGTTTTTGTGCATATCCTCTAAGCATTCCAAACTTTGATATTATCTAGTCAAACTGGTTCTTTCTTTATGTTGTTTGTGATATTATTGTTACTTGTTTAGATTAATTTCCATTTATTATGGTGTTGTTGTTAAGATGATTACTGCATGGTATGACTGTGTACTAAATCTTTTGTGGCTCTTAATTGTGAAACTCACTAATGCAATGTAAAATTTGCACTTTGAACTTTGAAAAATATATATCACAGTTGGACTTTACAAGGAATTTCGTTTTTTGGATTGAAATGTTTTCAACTTTCGAGCTTCCCAAACCTATTTCTTGGTGTCGGCTGTCTTCAATTAAAACATGTTAGTTTTAATGCAAACTTTTGATGACACTCACACGAATGATTACTTGAATTTTACAGTGTAATTGTGGAAGCTTTAAAGGTGGATAGTCTGCAGAGACTTTGCTCATCTTTGGAACCCCTTCTCAGGAAAATTGTGAGTTATAGTTACTTCCTTTGTATTAAATCCTGCACAATTTTAGAAGGTTGTTTACCTGCAATGAATGATTAATCACTTTTCTATAGAATAGTAGACCCTCAGCTTGAACATTTCTTCACAAAAGAAGTGACATCAAAGTTCTTTGTAACAACATTCGGTTACTCTCTGTTGTTGAAAAATTTTTGTGAGAAAAAGATAATGTGATATGTAAGGCCTACTAAAACATGGAGGTGAAATGAGCAATGCGTTTATCAAGAACCCAAATGTCAAGTGGTTATTCGTAACCTTATTAATGTTTTTGATTGAGTTTGATAGTTAAATATTATTTTACTGCTTCCATTTAGAAGTAGCTATGTGTAGGTGATGAATCAATAAAAGAACCTACAAGTCAATATCTACAATATATCATAAGGCATTTTGTTAATCCTTCTAATTCGATGAACTATAGGTCAGTGAAGAAGTGGAGCGTGCTTTGACAAAATTGGGTCCTGCTAAACTGGCTGAAAGGTGTGTTCCCTTGTCAAATTAGAATTCTGAAAATCTTCTTATTTAGTTATAAATACTCGTTCAGTATGATGCTGATACCTGATAAGCAATTTAATGGATGTAACAGCATTTGAGCATATGCAGTCCTTAACAATATAATGTAAATTGGTTGGTGCAAAATTGTACACGAACACGAAGATCCTATAGAAAATAATTGAATAATAATTATTATAAAGCCATGATTTTATCAATTCCTTCTACCTGTGTCAGATCTACACCACCAAGAATAGAAGGACCAGGGTCAAAGAATCTGCAGCTTCATTTCAGAACAAGAATGCCACCTCACTTGTTCACTGGAGGGAAGGTTGAGGGAGAGCATGGAGCATCTATTCATGTTGTCTTGTTGGATCCGAACACAGGAAATGTTGTTCAAGTTGGACCAGAATCAGTTGCTAAATTGAATGTTGTGGTGCTTGAAGGTGACTTTAATGAGGAAGCTGATGATGATTGGACAAAAGAGCACTTTGAAATCCATGAAGTAAAGGAAAGAGAGGGGAAAAGGCCACTTCTAACTGGAGATTTGCAGGTTAGCCTAAAGGAAGGGGTAGGAACCTTAGGGGATCTTACTTTCACTGACAATTCTAGTTGGATAAGAAGCAGAAAATTCAGGCTTGGTATTAAGGTGGCTCCTGGGTATTGTGAGGGGATTCATGTTCGTGAGGGAAAGACTGAAGCCTTTGCTGTTAAAGATCATAGAGGAGAATGTAAGTTTTCTAACAGTGAACACTTCATGTTTTTTGCTTCTCATAAAATCATTTTGTATTTGTCCAGACAGACTCAGATACTGGATAAGCAAGATTATTATTGCAAGGCATCATAGATTATAAAACTTGTTAGAAGAATAAAGATATAAAACCAATCTTGTGACACTTTTCGTCTAGGATAATTTTTCACATTTACAATGAATTTCCTTACATGTAGAGAAACTGGAACAGTTTTATAGAGTAGATGCCAAACGGACAATGAAAATTTACATCTCTATCTATGGTTGGTTGTGTTTCCTTGCATGGATTGTAATATCAACGTACGTCATGGTGCTATAGTAGGCAACCTTACCTTGTATTTGCAAGAAGCTGATTACATGGATCGAATATAAGACCTCGGGTTCACATGGTGCATAGATTGTAATATCAACATGTAATTTCCTAAAATCTTTATCTAGAGAAAAAACTTGGAGTTGAAAAGTGAGGCAAATATGGTCTCAACAATTAAAGTCTTCCTGACATGGAATGAATTTTTCTTGGGTTTAATACTTTAAGGTGGATTTGATAGATGACTATAATCTCTTACAAATCAGATTATATTCTGCTTGAATTGTGACTATTAAGGAAGCAATATTTCAATATTTAGGCTATTGACAAATCTTGCTTAGTAATGTTCTTGTTGAGATATATAAAACCATTAATGTAGCCTTACCCAACAACTTAAGCTTTTGGGTTGAATTGGTTCTTTACATGGTATCAAAGCCTCATGTCCCGGGTTCGATCCTCGCCGCCCCCCACTTTCTTTCAAGTGGAATTTCTTTGTTCGCACAGGTAGATGGGTCTATGCATTGTCCACTCTTCATGCCCAATGGGCTCTGGTGTGAGGGGGCGTGTTGAGATATATAAAACCATTAATGTAGCCTCCCCCAATAGCTTAAGCTTTTGGGTTGAATTGGTTCTTTACACTTCTCTCAACAAATTATTTTCTCTTACTTGCAGTATATAAGAAACACTATCCACCTGCTTTGCATGATGAAGTTTGGAGATTGGATCGGATAGCAAAAGATGGGGCACTTCACAAAAAATTGATTCAAGCAAAAATAGTAACTGTAGAAGATTTCCTGCGTCTTCTTGTTCGCGAACCACAGAAGTTAAGAAGTGTAAGAATTCAATGCTACTTGTTCATAAGAATCAATATCATTCTTCTCTAATCCAATTTTTCCGAATGCTCATTTCTACAAATTTCCTTTTTGCTACTTTTACTGCAGATACTTGGTAGTGGAATGTCCAACAGGATGTGGGAGAACACTGTGGAGCATGCCAAGACATGTGTCTTGGGTGGTAAGCTCTTTGTTTACTTCACTAATGAAACCAATAACACTGGCATTGTGTTCAACAACATATACGAGCTGAGAGGCCTTGTTGCTGATGGGCAATTCTTCTCTTTGGAATCACTTACTCCAAATCAAAAGGTCAATTTTCTGAGCTAATTAAACAAATAGAATTCCTATATCAATTTGATATCATGCTTAGTTTTAATATGTGATCAACATGCAAATTTTAACCCGCTCTTCCTCCCATTATCCTGTGTGTTTATCTGACTAGTGACTACATTAGCTCACTTATTGAGAATATGAATTACAGATGTCTGTGGATTCCTTGGTGAAGAAAGCATATGAAAATTGGAACCAAGTTATAGAATATGATGGCAAAGTTTTAAATTCTATTACTAATTCCAAAAAGGGGTCAAGATCTGTAGCCACTCATATAATGCATCACAATGATTTCCCAGAGCAGCAATATACTTCTACAAATCAGCATTTTCAAATAGCAAATAACTACTCATCTAGTCCTGATTTGACTGATTACCCATTTGGTAGATCTGATAATCAGATAGTAGGGACATCATTAAATAACTCTCAAGTAGCATTGTCAAGCAGCATGAATTACAACATACCAGGTGAAAATCCTGAAGTTGAAGGCACATATTTTCCTGGAGATTGGTCTAGGCAGAGAAGTGGACAAGGATTGGAAGACATTGTGGCAGAAGAACTCCGTCTTAGGAGTTCAGAGATGTTGGAGAGTGATGATATGCAGAGGTTGCTTAAGACAATTAATGTAGGAGGAGCCAATATGTCAGCTAATTTTGATCATTCTAATGAGGGTTGTTACACTTACAGCCTTCAGTATGAGCCTCAAATGTATCATTCATTCAGTGAGGATCATGGTAAGTCTTCAGGCAAAGCTGTTGTCGGGTGGCTTAAGCTCAAAGCTGCTTTAAGATGGGGCATATTTATCAGAAAAAGAGCTGCAGAAAGGAGAGCACAGCTTACTGAGTTGAATTGAGTTAAAATGCTTGAAAGTTGGATATTTTCAACTCATGTCAAACTATTAGTAGCTTGCTTATATTGCTCTTGGAATGTGACGAAAGCAAGTGCAAACTCTTTCATTGCTTACAAGACTTGAGAAAAAAGGATGTAAAGAAATGGTGTTTCAAGGTTTTCAACAGTGGCTTGAAGGTGGAAATACTTCATGATATGTAACAAATTCAAAATTGCAACCTAGGACATGCTTACTGTCAGAAAACAAGCTCTCTTATTGTGGCATTTTTCCATTAGTATTGTGTAATTTAATTATGATTAATTACCGATCTGAAGTTTGTATCTAATGTTTCTTGCCTTTTATTATTTTCTAATATTGTATCATGAAATATTTCGGAGCACATCCCACATGCAATAAAAGTTTACGGAAATTTGATTCATCTCTGCCTAATAAATGTGAATTTGAATTTGGTGGTTCTAAGTATATATGTTGCAAATTTCAGTCTCAGGTATATTGCTAGCTATTGTTCTTATGATTGATTAAACCATTGTCCAGATAATCCAATATAACATTTTCTCTTTCTCTTTCAATTATTTATTTTTCCACTGCCTGATTGGCAACTTAGATTATCTTGTAAGTTTTTGTTTCGGTTATTCAATATGCACGATTCTCTAAATATTAAGTATAAAGGTAACTTAAGTTCAATTAGTTTCTTTCTCTTTTATTATTTTGGGGGCGTTAGTTTACCTCAAACAATTATAGTGTATATCGATTTTACATTGGAACAAGCCAAAATCACGTTCAATAGGCAAACGGGTCTTGATTATTGTATCGTCATGTTTGAAAAAGAAATACAGACATGATTCTAGTTAATAAAATCACGTTGAGAGCGTAAAATCAATTTTATACAAACTTAAAGTTTGCAACTTCAATCTAAACACACAATTGAAAAACAGAGAGTTTGAGGGTGGGATGGAGACATTTATGTTCTTCTAAAAGTACCTCAGAACTCATTTTCCCATTGAGATCCTAAGATAGCTGCACGAACTTCATTTTTGATACATGTAATTCACAAATATCATATTAGGGTTATGCTTGTTTGAGTAAACGAAATATAAACACACAAAAAAGAAGAAGATAAATATAATAGCATACAAAAAGAGAGGTATAGAAAGAAGACTTTCACTTAAAACTCACCTTTAAAAGGTGGAAAATTACTCTAAAGTCACTCTTATGCTATAAACGAAATTGTCCACAGTTACAGTATAAAGTGTTAACGAGTTGCATTCCATTTTTAACTTTTTCATATTTTGATGTCAAGTATCTGCAAAATAAATGAAATATTAAAACATTTATTTGCGAGAAGGAAGAGAAAAACTAAGAAATACATTAATATTACAGTTATTTTATCTAAAATGAGAAATAGGCAGAAACGTTTGATGAGGTCACACTACAATAATGAAAAAAAGAGATGGAACGGATCAGATAATTAAAACACAAGTCCATAAGTGAAACAAGAAAATGTTGGCAAAGGGGAATAAATTACGTAGCAGAACATAAAAATAAGTACATCAAAGAAAAACTACACAATTAAATTGGCTCCAGAGATAGGAGTTAAGTTTCATGATTTTAATGCTCTTGGATTCTTGCTGAAACAGAAGAAATCAGATACATGATCCAACAGGGTAAGCATCAAATCCCATTTCTCCATCCATCAATGTTGAGTCATTTTGCTCCTGCAAAACAAAGAGTCTTTCATGAAATTAAGGAAAAAGAAAAAGAAAACAAAAACAAGATATCTGTTTTCTTATATGGTAGACCAAAACTAAAACCAATTTATATATAAAGGGCAAAATCTCGTGCACAAGGCTATGTGACTTGCAAGAATTGGGATAAAGGTCGTATGCTTGCAATTTTGCAAAGAGACTGTTTCTCATGCTCAAACCAGTGACCTTCTAGTCACAAGAAATAACCTTATCGCTGCTCCAATATATAACCAGATATATATACACATACAAATAAAATGTATAAATTCTTTGGGAGATATTTTTAACAAAGAAACCAAAGGAGTTATAAATTCTTTGTTTAAAAAACTATTTCAGTCAACAACAAAAAACCAACCACAACCTCAACAAATCAGTTTATGAACCTGAAACATTAGTCACACTGCAAATTCGTTGTTCAGAAAAAATATTGCATCGTTAATTACTATAACACTTGATTCCCTTAATCTATCTTAATCACATTCTTATTTTGTATTTTGATCTTAACCCGTTTAAAATTTTTGAAATACACTTCCGTTGTACAACCTTCCATACAAGTGAACATAAGAAGACAATAAAGGTTAAATGTAACACGTGAAACAAGGAGGAGATGATTAAAATTTGAACAAAATGAGGAAGTAATGTAAATTACTATTTTTCAAATGATGCAGCGTTTATAACTGCAGAATCTAAGTCTATATTTGGTAACATTATTTATAATGATCAGTTGCTTAATTTGTCATGTACTGTTTACTGAAATGACGTTGTTTAGCTTCTTTTGGAGATTTGCATCATTAATTCATTCCAATAGCAATAAAAGCTTAATACAGAAAGGAATGCACTGTAAAGATTCCTTTCTTTCTAATAATGGCTAGAGAAAAATATAGAAAGGGTGACACAAAGCTCAAAATCTCAAATCTTATTTTCTAGTTAAAAAACTATGGTGAAATTTCAATGTAAAAACTGTCCATCACCTTCATACATTCCATTGCAAATAAAAAGGTACCTGATGTGTCAAAAGAAACTAAAATGGCACCACCAAATAAAAGAGAAACTCGGCAATTATTTAACTTTATCATCTTTTCATACACCAATGCTTATCAAAACTTAATATATCAAAATATATGGAACTTCTTTTGCATTATTTCTGAAAGGTAGATTTCTAATTAAAAAATCAGGTTGCAGATTAAGACAAAGTGACAAACCGATGCTACACAATCACTTAGACAAGCATCTAAAAGCAACAGTCAAAATTCAAAAGAAATTGTGCTTATAAGCATCTAAAATCAGTTTATGTGACAGATGCAATACAATGCAATTGTTTCATGATACCATTGCAATCATAAAAGCATCTAAATGATAACAAAGGGGGCGGGGGAAGAATGTACCAAACAGAAGTAGGCTATTTAATCATACCCTTTTGACCATGGTACCCATTATGTCATCCAAGGTCCAGAAATTATTCTCAACAGATCCATCTTGGGACTTGATTTGCTCCAAAATGTAGGCATCATTTGACTTCAGTCGTATGTCAGAAGGGAATTTCCCAACTACAGCGCACTGGTTGATTGATGGGGAAGCCCCATTCAGTTGGCCAACCAAAGATGCATCAACTCCATTGCTGCAAATTATATTATTTTGGTGTAAGTTATTCCCTAAAGAACTTGTCCCACCAGTGGAAGAAGCCTGTGCATTTAGAGGATTGAATGGATGACACATGTTTTGGTTGTAATCCAGTTTATGTTCTTCCCACCTTTGTCGTGGTGTGTAACTTGAAGGCTGTACAACATTCCCAATTAAGCCTTGCTGGCATTGCAGCCCATTTTTATCATCCTCCAAAGGAATGTGAATTGAAATTCTGGAAGAAAAATCAACCGGACTGTTACCGATGCGAGTACTTGAGTTCGAAACATTTATGCTAGGGGGAGGCAGTTGGTCATTATTGAATGCATCACACAACGGCAAAGAATTGGTAGAAAATTTAGACAACTGAGCTGCACTCTGCCAGTTTTCATTACACCGATTATAATCCAACAAATTAGGACCGCAGATGCCGATGTCAAAAGATTCTGCACCCAGAGAAGCTGCTCTAACAGAAGACTGATTTCTAAATGCTCCTGTATTATGTGTTTGTTGTGAATTTCCAGGTAACAATAAATGGTTATTTGAGACACAAGGTACAGAATTGTTTGCACCACTAATAGGAGTCCCATTGTCTGGGAAGCCAGAAGCAACGGTAAATCCACTTGAATCAACTTGATTTAACTGCGATATACCCGTTGCAAAGTTGTTTTGCTTAGATTGGTTAAGCTCAATCGATGCTGGAATGCCCTGTAATAAACTTGAGCTTTGATTTGCAGGAAACCTGGATGGCTGAATGTTTCCAAGTGTGCTTAAGGAGCTGTTAATGTTTTGAGACTGAACAGGACGGATTAGTGCAGAGTTACCTATTCCTCTCAAGCTCAAGCCAGCCGGGGAATTCAGCCTACCAAAAATTCCACTAGATGCATATGATGGTAATGTGGTACTTGAGATCCTTCCAGATCCAGATGAAGTGCAAAAATCTCCATATCCATCTAAAGCACCCATCCGCAGGAAAGAATCACTACTACCCAATGCAGCAACCATGCTAGCTTGCTGAGTTGCCTTTTTTAGATAGAGTCTATATTTCTGCAATACATAATGACAATGAGCTTAATGTACAATCATCACAATAATGAAAAGTATATTTTGTCATGTAAAATGAAGAGCTATCCCCTAGCACCTAAGGATTCTTAAACGAAAATCAACAAACTAGCCAGAATAAACAAAGTTGCACATCTCTGCTTGAATAAACAAATGATAGTCAGAAAGCGAATCCAGCAAATAACCTGTGTTTAGTTGGACTTGAAAACATGTGTTTAAAGTCTTAAATGTCTCATTAGTAAAGTGCCATTTTTAAAATTTGATCCATCCTTTTTTATTAAAATAAGTATCTATAATATTATACTAGGCACCTTCTCAAACTGGATGTGAAGTTCTTCACACTTTGATGATTGATATTGCTACACATTTTCCCATAATTGTAAATTCATTATACAAACTTTCATTTCATAAAATTTCCATCAAACAAAGTTTCAAGAATCATCAGATCTAAAAGATTTTCTTTCCATCATTTGTCAAAGACTAAATGTAACAATTATAATAACTACAAAACCAAGAATCTATACCTGCAAATGGCTTGCCACATTTTCCCTTGTAAGCCCTTCAACATTCATCATGTCAAGTATTTTCTTAGGAACAGCCTCTGAAATAACAGGTGAATAAACATGGTATTAGGAATTATAGTATCCAAGTTGAGATATGAAATTGTTATTAATTGAAGTCAAACAAATTGGAAATGTTATTTCTTCATTGTCACAAACTCACTTTCTAGGCCCAGTTGATTAACTGCAGCAACAAATTTTCTGTGCAGCTCTACAGACCAAACTACGCGAGGTTTCTTCTGTGTTGAGGGGTCGTCATCTTCTCCATTCCCTTCACCGTCTTCTTCTTCTTCTTCTTCTTCCTCACTTGCGTCCTTCCGTTTTTTGCCAAGCTTTTTATTCTGGTCAGCACTGTTTTCTGATATGATGCCTTGACTTCCTTCCCCAGCAATATTAGGAGCCTTCTCCTCGTTGGAGGCCTTATTCTGATCCCTGCCATCAAAATTCTTTCTTCGGACTACATGTTGCCATATGTTCTTGAGCTCCTCAATTCGAACTGGTTTAAGCAAATAATCACATGCACCATGCGTAACACCCTTCATCACCAGCTTTGTATCACTGTGTGCTGACAACACTAGAACAAAATAAAAAATAATAGTTTAGGTCAATCAACGTATTCAACCCTATATTGTAAGACAACTGATTTTTCTCAAGATCAAATTTCTTTCCAAGAGAATTTAATTCTTGTATGGGTAAATCAACTCTATTTTTTGAGATAACAAAAGGAAAATTATTTAAACAAGTTAAATCGTAATTAGGACAATCTTCATCAGTTATATACCAAAACCTCATAATATAGAGAATTAAAGCTCATGTCAAATGCCTGTCAAGACAAAAGTGTATGAACTTACTGATAACGGGCAAATCCATTTCAAGTCCCACCAACTCTAGGAGTTTAAATCCATCCATGTCTGGCATATTCACATCACTAATAACAAGGTCAAACTTATTTTTCTTTTCCCTCAACATTTTAAGGGCCTCGATTGCCTGATTAGATGTAGTAACTGCAACAACAACCACAAATCACATGAGATTTAGCAAAACCAGAGGCCTCCTAAACAAACAAAGTAGATCAATTCATGCTATAACAAAAGCCTGGACAGAATTATCTATTGATAGCTCTATAAAATGTAACAAGCCAAGAAAATTATTAAAAAAATTCAAATTTAAAACAAAGCCTTTAACTTTAGGAAAATTAAGAATGTACACATCTTGCAAAAAAACAAATTTTGAATTGGAATTTAAGGTATAGTAACTGATGTATCTATAAGCAACCAAACAGTGTCCATGCATAATGCATCTGAAACATTAAAGTGACAACTAACTATATGTTTCAATTCAACACATAAGAGAAGAACAGCAAGAGATAAATTTTTATAACTCAAGCCCAACAATACAGTGTACGTTTAAGCACAATTATCGCACACAAGAATTTTTACTGAATTAAAAAACACAAATAAAGAAACAAAACCTTGATACTGGCATTTGCGAAGCAGGGTCTCCAACACTTTGAGACAAATTGGGTCGTCGTCCACAGCAAGAACACGCATACCCGCAGGAAAGGGGTCACGTGCCCCATCTTCATCCACCAAATGACCCCTTTGATTCTCAACAGCCATCTTGAGCTAGAAAAGCTAAAACAAAAATACCCAGATGAGAAAACCAAGCACTGGTGTAGAGATCACAGTTCACAGAGCAAAAAGCTCCAATTTTGAAAACTGAAACTAAGTCCCAGAGGCCTCTTTCACCAGCACAGGTAACAATAACAAAAGGGCAAGAGAGAAAAGGAAGCTGAGGAGAGAGAAAAAAAACGTGAAACTGGAGATGGTAACAAAACCAGTACAAAATGGACAGTGATGGATTTGAAGCCAACAAAACAAAACAGAAATCTTTTTTAGTATTTTAGTGAAAGTTCTCTCTCTCTCTCTCTCTCTGCTCTGTTACCTGTCCTTCACTTTTTCTACCAGAGGAACAGGGGGAAAAAAAGCCTTTGACTTTAATTATTTGTTAATAGCTGATGCAAAATGCAATACAATAATGCAGCTTGCTTCACCCTCTTTTTTTATAAATATTCTTATGTAACTATCTCTCTCCTCTTACACGCCAATGCCAGTGTGAACATGACCTTAATTAGACCCTTTGGTGATTGATATGGTAATCCTCATGTGCCCAACTGATCAATGCAAATCCCTACCCCACAGCTCCTATGCCCCACTGAACCCCAAAAAAAAAAAAACAAAAAAAAAAATTGACATGATTTTAGCAAATGATTTCAATCATGCTTACGATGAATGTGCCTTTCTTTTTTAAAAAAATGTTACAAGACCCTTTTGTGTTTATTAAGGTTTCACACCGAGTCTAAAATTTTCTTAAATGGTCTGTAATTACCAAAAGTATATGTATTGTGGTCAACTCAGAAAAACTATCATGTTTAGATGCTTTGAAATTCTCATGAAGAATCTGGGTAATATGTGATTTTTTTTCCTATTAAACCATTTTTATAATATATACCATTCAAGTTTCCTGTACAAAGAATATATTCAAAAACTTTTCTATAGAATAATTTTATTTTAAAATGTTTTTTTTCTTCGTCTTCTTTTGAATCCCGTGATTTTAGACACCCTTTTCCTCAGTTAATGTCATTTGAAGGCAATTTTTCGTCCTTCAATCAGTGCTGATTTGTCAGCTAAGATGCAGTGCTGGCATGAATGCAATTTAGGGTCTGGACCCACACAGATAGAAAGTTCTTAATCACAAATTTATTATATACTCTTTTAGAAATTATTATATAAATGATGATGTATGTAATTACTAATTATAATTCGGAAATTTTCGAATTTCCTATTAAAGTAAAATTAAAACTCATATCTTTGTCGGTTTTTATGCAAGATTTCCAATTTCAAATTGATTGATGTTAGGAGTTAACGACTGAACAACTACCAAATTGTCATCGCAGAGCCCTTAAATCTTGATTTTCTTTCTATTCCGTCCCTTTCTTTTATGCGAATTATTATTCTCATGCTGCTGTAGGAGATAAGGTATCTTATGTGATAGACTCAATATGTGTGGATTTCATTAATTTTAAAAAAAAAAAAAAAAAAGTCAAGCACAGATATTGAAAGGTCAGTAGGAGAAACTCTCTAATTTATGTTACATGAGACTAACTTAACCCTTCTTTTATATATATATATATATATATATATATATATATATATATATATATATATATTCTTTTTATATACACTTTTATATATATTCTTTGCTTATTGTTTATACAATATGTTATGTGGGTCCCACACCACTCCAACTCACATCACATGTTCCAATTAAAAGACATGAAATTGATAAATTTTAAATTAAAAGTTCAACGTTCAACTGGAACAACTCAATTAATTAGTTGTAATTAGTCTGTGATTCTGTGAAACCATGAAATCAATCCATACTTAGAAACGATAAATAAAATATTGCACATTTTTTTTTTAATTTTAGATTAGAAGGTGCTTGCGTTTTCTTTAGGTTTCATTTGACATCAATGTTAAAGTCACAAGGTGCTCCCGAGCAATTTCAGATTACTAAAACATTATAAAATTTGCCGCTTTGAGCTTAATTTGTGGACTAAATGTTTATTTAGATTAGTTTATCTAAAATAATAATAATTTTCTTTTTACAACTTCTTGAAATACTTTTAACAAATAATTTTTTAAATAAGGTTTTTTTCTTCAAAAAATTCATTAATTACTTAATTAATCCGATTTAAATATTGTCGGATCCATATTAGGGACAAATGTCTCATTTAACATGTTAAAAATTCATATTTGCTTCAGTTTTTTTTTTAAAATAAAAATTCTAAAAAGTACAAAAAAAACATACGATGTTATAATTAGCTAATCTAAACGTATACTAAACTTTATGTCCAAATTCAAATTAAGACAGACACAGCAATAATAATTGTTTTAACATTGATGGCATAACATGAACATTGACAAATTTTCCACAAGCACAAACACCTGTCTTGGGCATATTTGTTTGTACGTTATACATTGAATTCTTGTTTCCTATTTGGCAAGGACAAGATATACCAATAATTTGCTTTAGATACATCAGCGTTCAGCAATCAACATGAATGATGCTGCTTTCTAGGTACAACGAGATAACGAAAGGACAAAGAAACAATCGCAAGACGTTTACCAACCAAAGCACTAAACTGAAAGGTCGAGTAAAAGAACCATTAATCCAAGACTACAAAACAAATTGAAGAGATCACAGTTGCTTATACTTGTAGTACGGTCATTAGCTTAACTCTTCACGAGGGCACCAAACAATCGTTCATGAATGATGTGATTGATATTAATGAGATTCAAATAAAATGAAGAGTAAAGGCATGATTTATTCAATTAAAGATACAAGGGTGGTTGTTTTGTTATTAAAATAATAATGATCTTAATTTGGTTTGTCTATCATAAAATATGACATTAAAATTGTTCTTGTGCACAGGCTGTGAGATTAACGAATTAATTTGATAGATTGTGCATGATAAACGTTCTGTTTTGTAAAATGCCTATGATTAAGAATACTAAATTGATGTCATTGTCTACGATCAAGGAGAAAATTAATATCGAAGGCAAAAAAAAAAACTAGGAAACTAATGTCAACTTCTATTGAAAAATCAAATTAATTTTACATTTTGAATTATATAGTTAAATTGGTTTTAACTTTCTTCAAAACGTTAAATAATGTTCGTTATATTTTTAAGATGTTATAATAGAAGTATCATTAATCAAATGGTGGTAACTCAGTTGGTAGCAAGGAAGTTGAGTAAATGGAAAGAAAATATCCTCAATTCGATCCCCACATGTCATCTTTGTGAGGGATTTAAATATCTTTATCTTTGACCCGTCCCGCACTCTGGATTAGTCTCATAGTTGGTTCAAAAAGTTGAAAGTTTGTGGGGATACCGAAAGGAGCTAACTCACCTAAAAGAGGTAATCAAGGTTGGATTAACTCAAAAAAAAAAGTATCATTTTGATCAGTCCAACACGAATTGGGTTGTGCCTATTCACACAGTTGAATTTGGAGGATGTTGATGAAAAGAAAGATGGATAAATGAATGTATAGTTATCGAGATGATGGGATGCTTGGCGAGATGTTGTGGTACTCTGCGAGATGATTGGACAACACTTTGCGTATCCGGGCAATTTGAGAGCGACTGCGGATACCTGCAAAGACACTCTGATGCTCAAGTTAGTTCAGTATTCAATGAGATTAAATATTCAAAGAGATATATCATACCTTGGCTAAATGCCTCTATATTTATAGTACTTGAGCGCGTCTTGTTTCTCACTATCTTTCATAGGACGGTATTCACGTTTATTGATGGAGAATGATGGTCTCTTTCAGGCTATTCCTTTGTGGACAAATCTATGTTCAATAATAGATTCAGTAAATATGGTGGCAAGCAAGAGCTTTCATTCATTCACTGGTTTGGTTCTGGGTGGCGACCAACTTGCTTGAGCTGTTGATTTCAACAATAATGATTCCTATCAGATTAAGTCATGTTTAGCTTGCTGACCAAGTTAATGAGATCTCATGCTTTCTATGCAGGATGAATTTGCCTTGGTGGCTAAGTCATAAGGGATTTTTGTTCTCTTATACCTTTATGAAATTGGGTATTTATTTCGGATATAGTAGGTTCAGATCACCTTTAAAAGGAATTATAACTCTAATTTCAAAATTCATAAAAGTGGGTGCTCTACAATAAACTCCTAGCATCGAGCGAGTTCAGCTAATCCAGATTGAGTTCTAACCACATCAAGTGAGGTTGCAAAATAATCTTTTAAGTTTTTTTTTAAAACAAATTTTGTTTTAAAATACAAAACAATGACTAATTTTTTCAAAATTTAGAGAATGCTGAAAATTTTAATAATCCAGAATGTCATCTATCATGAAATTTTTTTAAAACAATTTATCATAATTTTTTTTTTTTTGAAAAGTGGGCTGATCACATATATGAACTGAATATTTTTTTTTTCTTTTTTCAAATCTGCAGTAGAAACTTCGCCTCAAAAGATAGAAAAAATAGTATTAAATTCTGTGGCTAATTACTATATACTAGAATTTTTTTGGGTAAAATATATACTAAAAATTTAATATTAACTTAGATAATAATAATAATTTCAGTTATTTATAATATTAATTATTACTTATGATGTTAATTATTATTTAATTGAACACAATGTTTTATTTTTTTAATAAAATAAATATTGAAGTATACGTAGCAAAATTTTTTTTACCAATATTACATGAGTTTCAATTATCTCATACAGTACAAGAAAATTTTATCATTCTATAAATATATTTTATATTAGACCCGATCTATTAAAAAATACAAAAAAATAAATAAAAAAAGTCGAAAAAACAATTCTCCTACGTTAGAAAATGTTTTTCCGTATTATATACAAGTAAAACAAATTTTAGCTAATGATTGTGACATTACAGTATAGATGAGGTTGCATATTTCGGGTACATTCAAAGTACCACTTCTCTAACATAAAACCATGTTCGTGAGGATCAATTATGCCTTTGGGTTGGGGTCCACATCATAGTAATTTAAAGTCACTTCAGGATTTATTTTTCCGTGCATGTTTAATTATTAAGAAAAATTATTCTCATGTTACATGAAATAAGTTTTTCTTATATACATTTTGATAAATGTGTCATTTCTTTTAATTGTTGGAGTCCATAAATTTGTCTCATACTTATCTCCTTTTAACATGAGATTAATAAAAATTTTAATTATTCACAAGTATCAAAAGCCCATTTAAATTATTAAAAAATAATTATTTCATTTAAGCATTACATGAGTTGTCTAAAATAAATATTTATAAATAAAATTTTATTTAATAAATAAATATTTATTAAAAATTTAAACTAACTTATTTTTTATTAAAAAATGTTTAATTAAATTATTTTAAAGGTGATATTTGGTTAAA